ATATATATATATATATATATATATATATATATATATATATATATATATACACATATATATATAAGTATGAAAATATAATGTCAAAATGAAAGAAAGTTTCTTCTCATCAATCCATTATTGTCATCTTCTAAGAATGTATATTTTTTCCAATTTTCTTGCTTATTTTCTGTTGTACAACTCATGTTTAATTAGCAGCATGGTTCTGATCTTCACGGCAAATCGTGCGACTAACATGCAAATATGGTTCTGTAGTACAATGCAGGCAAATTTTAATTAAAACGCGCTACAACGAAAAGGTTAGTCTCTCATTTTGAAGTATTAAATATTACATTTTAATGTAATTCTATTTTATATAGATCAATCATCATTTCTGCTTGAGGCATTTAATCGCGCGTTTTATAAAAACTTGTCAAATGATAACAAGAACATAATACATGGCAAGGAGAAAAATTAATTTAAAATAATTACACAAGAGCCTGAAATATGTAGGTAAATATACTTTAAAAATTTCTTTTAATGTTACATAATAATAAAGTAATTATCTCAAAGTTTGATAAAATTGAAATTATTTACTAGCTATTTCAAATATGTGATAATAAATTGTAATTCTCTGTACGGAATTGTACAATTATGTAAACAACCTGTCGACATGTTATCTATTGCAGCAATAATAGCATTTGATGAACAAATATGTGAGAGGCAAGCGCAACATAACACATTTTCAATGTTTAGAAATAATATCCTATATAGAACATAGATCTTCAAAGGATGTCCTTCCAAAAGACATTCAGAGAACGTCCTCAGAACGTTCATAAGTCGCACATTCGATAAAATATGCTATATGGGGCAAATATTCCATTACAGAAATTATAAATATTAGAATTAAAGTTTTTCAAATTAGATTAAACTTTTAACTGATGAAAGGAGCAATAATATTACACTAACGAAAGGATGCAATGTGGTGCTAATGTAGTTTTGTTTCATTATTTGTGTGTTATCTCCTTTATTACGGGTGTCTTTTATTATATACATGATATATTCATGTCCACAAACAAACAAATGATTTCTTTACAAGAAGAAAATAGGTTCTTTTAAATGAAATAGTGTATTTACACAATATTCACTTGTTTTTAAAATAAGCAAAATACAAATAAATCATTTCATAAATAGTTTTCTGTAAAAGAAACTTTTAGTAAAAGAAACTTTTTGTTTAAAACAAAAATTTTTTTAATGTCAGAAAATGATTTATTTGTATTTTATTACTTTTAAAATAAGAAAGAATTTGTTTATACAGTTTTTACATTAAAAATTCATTTTCTTCTTGTAAAAATAATTTGATTTTTTGTATAACAATCTTTTAAATAAGAGAAATTATATTTTTAATCTAGAAACTTATGATTTTACAAATTACTTTAGAAATTTAAAAATTATTTACTTCAGATTTATAAATATTTACTTTTCAATTTAAAAAATGTTTACCTATATTAAAAAATATATTTGACGAAATGTTTCTTTTATGTTAACAATTTTTCTGTGTGCAAATTATGTTATATTTGATATAATTGATTTTATATTTGATTACAGGAATAAAAGCGACGAAGTAAATTTAACTATAATTGACGAGCAGTCAATTCTACAACAGATCGAAAGTGGTTATTATAATGAAGAAATATAAAAAAGTTTGTTAAATTATCCTGATATCAACAGTATTTCTTTTATAATAAATGAGGCAGTGCCTTTAAATAGCACATACACGATAGAAAATTTTCCAGAAGTAGAAAATTTAGTCGAAAGTTAGTTAATAATATATATATAAATTTTATGTTTTTATGTTTTGATAATAATACTTTAATACAATTCTCAGTATCAGATGCAACTTTTGATCAGAGATTTTAGAATTCACGCCCATTATCCTCTCTTTACTTCTTGTGACATCACAACCGAGCGCGTAACTAACAAGGAGATGACGCCAATTAGGAAATCGCTTTTCCAACGAGTCATAGTGCGTTCGATAGCTTACATGTAGCTAATAAAAACCCTAAAGGCGTTTGTGCCAATGGGCCTTCGTTTAGGAGAAATTACAAAACAAAGTTAGGGTCACGCAACTATGTCCCATGTAAAGAAGAACATTAGAATCTTTTTCGAGTAAGCGG